TCGTGCTTCCCCTCCTAGACGGGAGCTGCCCTTTCCCCAGCGGCTCCGAGAGTGGTACGCTCGGCGCTGCAGTCTCCGGAGTGGCGCTCCTAGTGTCGCGGACCCTGGTGCTGGAGCTGCTGGCGGTACTACTGGCGCCGCTGGAGGTGCTGCTGGTGTTGGTACTGCTGGAGCTGCTGGAGGTGCTGCTGCTGCTGGCGGTGCTGCTGGCGCTGCTGGAGGTGCTGCTGGTGCTGGTGCTGCTGGAGCTGCTGGAGGTACTGCTGCTGCTGGCGGTGCTGCTGGCGCTGCTGGAGCTGCTGGAGGTGCTGCTGCTGCTAGCGGTGCTGCTGGTGCTGCTGGAGGTGCTGCTGGTACTGGTGCTGCTGGAGCTGCTAGAGGTGCTGCTGCTGCTAGCGGTGCTGCTGGTGCTGCTGGAGGTGCTGCTGGTGCTGCTGCTGCTGGCGGTGCTGCTGGAGCTGCTGGAGGCGCTGGTGCTGGAGCTGCTGGAGCCGCTGGTCCTGGAGGTGCTAGTACTAGCGGTACTGGAGCTGCTGGGACTGGGCCTACTGAGGGGGGTGGAGCTGGAGGTGCTGAGCGGCCGCGGCCGTACTACGTTCCGCTTCTTCAGCAGGTTCTTGACCTCCCTCCCTCTCCTGGTCCTCCTCCTCCCCTACTGAGTCCACCGCCTGTCCAGTCGCAGTCACAGTTACAGTCAGCCTCTCCACTGCCTGGTCCTTCTCCTTACGCTGAGCCGACGGGAGGTCTTACGGAGCGTCGTGAGCCTGAGTCTCGTCCTCCGTCGCCTGAGACCCGTCCTGAGTCGTCTGTGTCGCGTCCAGAGTCGCCTGTCCGCGCTGTCCGCGCTGGTCGTCGTGCTCCGCGTGAGCATCCTCCTCCTGTCCTTGGCACTCACTACATGACCCTGCGTCCTTCCACTGCTCCACAGCGTGTCCCACTGCCGTCTCCTCCTGCGTCCTCTCTTCCTGACGTTGCTGACCCGCCGTCAGACCTTACTCGTGCTGCCAGTCCTACTGCCGCGCGTCTCCTCGCTACTGTTGTCACTGACCCTACCTTTGAGTCCTCTGCTGCGTCTGCTCTAGTCGCTGAGCTTGTTGACTTTGCTGCCGCCTGTCGTCTAGACTACGCCGCTAGCCTTGTTGTTGAGTCTGAGTCTGAGTCTGTCTGTCCTCCGTCCGTCGGGGGTGAGTGTGCTCCTGGCACGGACGTCCTTGAGGACAGACAGGAGGAGTTTGAGTGCTTTGCCGCTGCTTTGCCTCATCTCGTGTCCATGCTAGTTGCCCCTGAGGGAGACCCGGATGCACCAGACATCCCGACCCCACGCTCTTACGCAGAGGCGATGGAGGGTCTCTACTCCTCTCAGTGGCAGACAGCCATGGACGCAGAGATGGCTTCCTGGAAGTCCACAGGCACCTACGTCGACGAGGTTCCCCCACCTGGGGCGAACATCGTCAGTGGCATGTGGATTTTCAGGGTGAAGCGGCCGCCGGGTTCTCCGCCTGTCTTCAAGGCGCGTTACGTTGCACGAGGCTTCAGTCAGCGAGAGGGAGTTGACTTCTTCCAGACCTTCTCCCCGACCCCGAAGATGACCACTCTTCGGGTTCTGCTGCATGTCGCCGCTCAGCGTGACTACGAGCTCCACTCTCTTGACTTCAGCACTGCGTTCTTACAGGGCAGCCTGCACGAGGAGATCTGGCTGCGCCGCCCACCTGGCTTCACTGGGTCGTTCCCTCCTGGTACCCAGTGGAGCCTCCGGCGGCCATTCTACGGTCTCCGCCAAGCACCCCGTGAGTGGCACGACACACTGAGGACTACTCTTGCTGCTCTTGGGTTTGCTCCTTCTACTGCTGACCCGTCGCTGTTTCTACGCACCGACACCACTCTGCCGCCGTTCTACGTTCTCGTGTATGTAGACGACTTGGTCTTTGCTACTGCTGACACTGAGGCACTCGCCCACGTGAAGTCGGAGCTGCAGAAGAGACACACGTGCACAGACCTGGGTGAGCTGACAAGCTATCTTGGCTTGCAGATCACCCGGGACAGAGCACAGCGCACCATCACCTTGACTCAGTCACACATGGTGCAGCAGGTCCTTCAGCGCTTCCGCTTCACGTACTCCTCGCCTCAGCCCACTCCTCTGTCTACCGGTCACTCGCTCTCAGCTCTGCCTTCGGATGAGTCCGTAGAGCCGAGTGGTCCGTATCCAGAGCTTGTGGGCTGCCTCATGTACCTGATGACCTGCACTCGACCTGACCTTGCATACCCTCTTAGCATCCTAGCACGCTATGTCGCTCCTGGCCGTCACCGGAAGGAGCACATGGATGCCGCTCAGAGGGTGTTGCGCTACTTGTGCAGTACGTCGGGCATGGGGCTTGTGCTTGGAGGACGGCGCGACGTTGTCCTCACTGGACACTCAGACGCTTCTTGGGCTGACGACCAGGCTACGCAGCGGTCGTCTCAGGGTTACACCTTCAGCCTTGGCTCTGGCTCTGTTTCGTGGCGTTCTACACGCTCTTCCTCAGTACTCAGCTCCAGTTGTGAGGCTGATATCTACGCCACAGCCATGGCTGCCCAGGAGCTACGCTGGCTCACCTACCTGCTGACCGACCTTGGAGAGCGGCCTCGTTCTCCTCCAGTGCTGTACGTCGATAACAAGGCAGCCATTGCCTTGTGTGAGGAGCACAGACTGGAGCACAGAACGAAGCACATCGCTCTGCGTTACTTCCTTGCTCGAGAGCTGCAGCAGCGTGGTCAGCTTCGTCTCTTGTACGTGGCCACTCGGGCAAACACTGCTGATGTGTTCACCAAGGCGCTTCAGCCTTGTGATCATCAGCGTTTCTGTACTGTTCTAGGCCTTGTGCCTACTGTCCCTCACTTGCTCACTTCTTGACTCTGCTTGTACTGTGATCTCTATATATATACCTGCATGCTTACACTTGCTAGGTTGTGATCATTGTACCTCTTGTTATATTATCAAACTGCATGTGAACTGGTCTTGTCACCGCTTGCTTGTGCTCGGAATTTGTGTGGTATCCTTGAGATCCACCCTGAGCTTGTTTTGCCTTGCTTTGCTTTGACTGGTCTTGTGACCCCTTGCTCTCCCCCACTTCGCCTATGGGGGTGTGTCAAACATTATACTTGTTATATTTGTGTAGGCTATAGTGGGTTAGCCTATAGGGGGTTCACAACTCTAGGGTTTCATATTTGTACTCTCACTTCTTTCTAGTTCAACACTTCTTCTTTCTGACACAGCCATCATCGCAAGCGCCGAACTTTTCTGTGCGCACGAACCAAGCGGAAATTGCTCTGGTAGATGTATCTGAACAAGGGCCACCCGAATATGCATCAACAATCAGGTCGCTCAATGCTTTTCCTACGCCTATAGGGATCCATGCACTTCGTTACCATTTGATGGCAGACACATTCGTCATCGCAAGCGCCGAACTTTTCTGTGCGCGTGAACCAAGCGGAAATTGTTCTGGTAGGTGTATTTGAACATGGACCACCCAAATATGCCTCAACATTCAGGTCGCTTGATGCTTTCCCCTGCGCCTATAGGGATCCATGTGCTTCGTTACCATTTGTCGGCAGACACAGCCGTCATCGCAGGTGCCTGCGATAATGGCTGTGTCTACCAACAAATGGTAGCGAAGCTCATGGATCCCTATAGGCGTAGGGAACATTATCGAGCGACCTGAATGTTGTTGCATATTTGGGTGGCCCATGTTCAAATACACCTACCAGAGCAATTTCCTCTTGGTTCATGCGCGTAGAAAAGTTCGGCACCTGCGATGATGGTTGTGTCTGCCGACAAATGGTAACGAAGCGCATGGATCCCTACAGGCGTAGGGAAAAGCATCAAGCGACCTGAATGTTGTTGCATATTCTGGTGGCGCTTGTTCAAATACACTTACCAGAGCAATTTCCCCTTGGTTCGTGCGCACAGAAAGGTTCGGCGCCTGCGATGATGGCTATGTCTGCCGACAAATGGTAACGAAGCGCATGGATCCCTATAGGCGTAGGGAAAATCATCGAGCGATTTTAATGTTGTTGCATATTCAGATGGCCCATGTTCAGATACACCTATCAGAGCAATTTTCGCTTGGTTCGTGCACACAAAAAAGTTCGGCGCATGCGATGATGACTGCGTCTGCGACAAATGGTAACGAAGTGCATGGATCCCTATAGGTGTAGGGAAAGTCATCGAGCGACCTGAATGTTGTTGCATATTCGAGTGGCCATGTTCAAATACACCTATAAGAGCAATTTCCGCTTGGTTCGTGCGCACAGAAAAGTTTGGCGCCTGCGATGACGGCTGCGACTGCCGACAAGTGGTAAAGAAGCGCATGGATTCCTATAGGCGTAGGGAAAAGCATTGAGCGCACAGACAACGGGTTGCGACTGCCGACAAGTGGTAAAGAAGCGCATGGATTCCTATAGGCGTAGGGAAAAGCATTGAGCGCATTGAGTGTGGTCCTGCTCATTATTGGATTTTAATCCTTTCTTCTGGCTTAGGCGATTTAGTTCTTTATCTATATTCTCATACATCTTTATACTTGATAAGTATAGTGAGTGGTTTTTTTAGCTTGTTGTGTCCTGCTCCAAGATGTTTTTGGCCGCACCGTTCTCAGTTTGCCGTTTGCGCGGGAACGCTGGAACTTTTGCCTCCCGCCGATTTGCGCTGGTGGACTGGAACCAGTCCGTGTATGCATTGTGTTGTGACGGTGGGCGGTCCATGACCATGAGAAAGCTCGGGCCGCCATCACATGCGGTTCGTCAAATGGTGAAAATGAGGTGAGGCTGTGACAGATGAAATGCAGAAGAGGCTTGGGAAAAGGCTTTGAGAAGCTGGACTCCAGAGCTCGTGAATCACGCTACTAGTGAACAGGGCAGGGAACTCCTAACGAAGCCAACGTGATGGGAGAGAGAAATAGATTCGATTCCTCAATTTTCGTGGTAGTTTCTTTAACCTGCCTCTTGAAGTGCGCGGCCCAGTCATCATGGAGTTGCGACATCTCGCGGGGCAAGTGGGTAGCAGACAGCAAGTTACCGCTCTACACAGGCAACTCGTGTCCATACATCCGCACATCGCAGAACTGCCTCAAGCAGGGCCGCCCGGACATGTCGTTCCAAAAGTTCCGCTGGCAGGTGCGTCCGTCGACCAGCGAGTGTATCGATCTTGGTATTCCTCACCACTCCGCGCACGCTCGTGCTCTCTCCTCTCGCCCACCCGATGTGCTTCCTTGCCCCCCCTACAGCCCAGGGGATGCTCTGTGAAGCGCGTGTCGCCGCAGAGTTTGGCGGAGTTGTTTCGCGGCAAGCTGGTGCTGGTGTTCGGCGACTCGCTCTCCAAGAACTTCGCCGCGTCGCTGCAGTGCATGCTGCACGCCGCCGACTCTACCGCCGCTAGATCGTACCGCCTGGCGCAGAAGAAAACCGCCGAATGGGGCGTCGAGGTACGTGCGGCAGACGTTGAGGCGCCGTACCCCTGAAACACAACGCATATGCATGCGCCCCACGTTGCGTTGCATCACCCGTCACCTAACCATCTTAGCCCGGCATCCGTCCGCCATCTCACTCTCTATGTGGTGCGGCGTGCTGCCCGGCGTGAGTGCGCAGTTCCCGACGTACAAGATCCGGTTCGTTTCCGTGTTCTCCAATTGGCTCAACAACGCCACCAGCCTGTCCGACAAGAACGGCATCGAGCAGCACCGCATCGACCTGGACGGCCTGGATCAGCGCATCAAGGACTTGCTGCCCATCGCTGACATCGTCATCTTCCAGGTCAGTTTGCGCCCCGACTCGCTTTCGCGCCCACCCTCGCATCCGCGCCCTGCCTTGCTTCCGCGCCCTGCCTCGCTCCCGCGCTCTGCCTCGCATCCGAGCCGTGCCTCGCATCCGCTCCTTTCCTCGCATCTTCGCCCTGCTTCGCATCCGCTCCTTTCCTCGCACGTTCGCCCTGCCTCACATCCGCTCCTTTCCTCGCATCTTCGCCCTGCCTCGCATCCGCTCCTTTCCTCGCATCTTCGACCTGCCTCGCATCCGCGCCTTTCGTCGCATCTTCGCCCTGCCTCGCATCCGCGCCTTTCCTCGCATCCGCGCCTGCCGTCGCGTCATCCCGCAAGCTCCGCTTGGCAAAGATCAGCGTAGGAAGGAGAGCTAACAGCGAGCCCACTTCGGGTTTCCATAGTCCATTTCTCTCCGTGCTGTGTGGCGCAGGCGACGGCGTGGTGGATGCCGCCCATCAACCGGTGGTACGTGGGCGGCAAGGAGGCGACGATGAAGGCGACGGCGGCATACGAGCGCGGACTGACGACGCTGCGGGACTACGTGGCGGGCAGCGGCGGCGGGTTCAAGGGGCGCGCCGTGGTGATGGGCGTGTCGCCGTCGCACTACGACTTGCCCGTGGCGGGCGTCAAGAAGGGGTCGTGCAAAGTCAACTCCATGCTCACCAGCGCGCAGGTACGTGGACGCAGGCTGGAAGGGAAGCGCAAGTGGGAGCGGGGAGAGCAGATGGTAGGGGGAAGCGCGGGTGGGAAAGGGAAGCGCGGGTGGGAGGGGAAGTACGGGTGGGAAGGGGAAGTACGGGTGGGAGGGGGAAGCGCGGGTGGGAGGGGGAAGCATGGGTGGGAGGGGGAAGCGCGGGCTGGAGAGGGAAGCGCGGGCGGGAGGGAGAAGCGCAGTGGGAGGGGAGAGAGCGAGGGAGGGTTGGAGCACCTGTGGGAGAGAAGACCAAAAAAGAGGGAAGAGGAGAGGTATGACAACCACCTTTCTTTTATTTTACAATGAAGGGGCTCCGTGTCAGACCTCCATTCCTAACGTCTCGCCCCGTGCCTCCATACCAACCTGCCTCCTCAGACAGCCACCGTGCGCAGTGGAGACAGCTCCTCTAGTGATCTGCGGGCCGTCCAGCAGCGTGTTCTCGGGGGGTCGTCGGTGGTGTACGTGGATGTGAAGCCCATGAGCGACTGGCGGCCCGATGGACACATCCAAAACTGGAGCGTCAAAGGTGAGTTCAACTTCAAAAGCAGTATGTCTAACTGGCAAGATTATTATGAACACAGTGCTCGTTTGATGTCCTATTACCAGTACAAGAATTTACGTGGGCCACACTGTGTGACCAATCTAATTCCCCGGTTTTGCCACAGGGGGAGCACCAGTTACAAAGAAGAACGACTGCCTTCATTGGTGTGAAGGAGGAGTTACAGATGCTTGGGTGGAAATGCTCTTCAACAAGCTCCAATAGATTGTGTTCAAGCTCTGAAGTTGGTCCTAGAAATAAAAGACAGCGAATGTCAAACCTATTTTGTGCTTTCAACTATGAAGTGCCCCTAGTTTCTTATGGTGCAACTATGCATGAAGGGACGCATGTGTAATAATTTTGACTTTGTGAATTATATATAATGTATACCTAGTGCAGAAGTGTAGTGTGTTATATGCGTAAGTTTCCTGCTTCCAACGGATAGCTCCTTCCGCGCCAACGTTTTCGGAGTTGGTGGGCGTCTGCAACTCCAGATGTTCCCACGAGAACTGTGTGGGAGTTTCGAGCCGCAGGTGCCAGGTCCTACCGTTCTCTCCACTGACCACCGCTCCGCAGGCACAGACAATGACTTATTCCACGTGGGATTCCGTAAATGGCCAGTATTTTCCAGGCATGCTCTTCGCCACGGCTTCCCAGACCTCTGTGTGGTCGTGTCGTTGACCCCTTCGAGATCCTCCCCCACCTGAGATGCATGCGACTGCCCGCAGATGCGCACACCACTTTGTGGTGCGAAACGACATCCCCTCCTGCCCACGCTTCTGTCCCGTTGGGCGCTGTTCCCCTCCGCGCACTCCCCGTTTCCCCGTCTCCCGCACTCATGAACTCCGTCCAACCCTCTGCGGTAGCAGTGAATTTCTCCCCCACTCCTCTTCACTCCCTCCCCCAACCTTGGCGCGCGCGATCCCCGCTTCCAGTCTGGCTTCAGTAACTCCCAGGACTATTTGATGGATCCTAGGTTCAGTCTTTCTTGAGCTTCCACATCGTTTTAGGCGTTTTTGGGATTGTCGTGAGACAAACCTTGTACCTTTGTACATATTGTCACACCGTTTATCCGTCTTGTCAGGCTCTCTATATTTTGGCTTTGGAGTTCAGTTGCTCCTGTCTTCCCTAGCACATACTTCGTAATCCTCGACCAGATCGACTACCAAGGCAATGGCTGGCAGCTACCCGCCGATTCTTCGAATGCGCTGCGTGGCGCAGACGTATGATTGGGGCATCAAGGGCAGTGGGAGCACGGTGGGTCGTCTTTACGCGCTGGGCACGAGCGGCAGCGCGGAGGCGGCTAAGGACGACGTGCCGTACGCCGAGCTCTGGATGGGCACGCACCCAAGCGGGCCGTCGCTTGTGCTGCCGTCCGCGCAATCGGATGAGGTCGACGCCTCGTGCCCCGCTCTCGTCAAGGCCGACGCCGCAGCGGGCGAGCCGCAGCTGTTGCAGGAGTGGCTCGACGCGCACCCCGAGGCTCTGGGCGCCACGGTGCAGCACAAGTGGCCCGGCCAGCTTCCATTCCTCTTCAAGGTACGTTGCTACATGATGTGTGGATCGGGTTTCTGCCTTACTAAAAATACTCAGGATGTGATCGTTGAAACCCTAAAATTGTCTTGTGGAAGCTGGCGGCTGCCATTCTATCTTTCCGCCTCTTCCTTAATATGTTGCCGCAATATTACGCGTTAGGTAACCTTCTTTGAGAAACATATCGCTTGCCCATCAATCAGTACTCAGTATGCCTCACCGTAGTACGCTACAGCAACAGTGTGCATGCTGACGTGTCATCGTGCTTTCCCGGCAGGTACTGAGCGTGGCGAAGGCACTGTCGATCCAGGCGCACCCAGACAAGCGGCTGGCGGAGCGGCTGCACGCGACGCAGCCGAAGAACTACAAGGACGCCAACCACAAGCCCGAGATGGCGCTCGCCGTCACCAACTTCGAGGCGCTCTGCGGCTTCGTCACCTCGCGGGTGAGGGTCGCGGAAGGGTGCGCGGGAAGGGTGCGCGGGAAGGGCTCTTGGTCAATATGAGAAGTGGGTCGCGAGGTCGGTGAGCGTGGCTAGTATGCGAGGCCGGTGCGCGTGGCTAGTATGCGAGGCCGTTGCGCGTGGCTAGTATGCGAGGTCGATGCGCGTGGCTAGTATGCGAGGTCGATGCGCGTGGCTAGTATGTCAGGTCGATGCGCGTGGCTAATATGTAAGGTCGATGCGCGTGGCTTGGCTAGTATGTAAGGTCGATGCGCGTGGCTTGTCTAGTATGTCAGGTCGATGCGCGTGGCTTGGCTAGTATGTCAGGTCGATGCGCGTGGCTTGGCTAGTATGTCAGGTCGATGCGCGTGGCTTGGCTAGTATGTCAGGTCGATGCGCGTGGCTTGGCTAGTATGTCAGGTCGATGCGCGTGGCTTGGCTAGTATGTCAGGTCGATGCGCGTGGCTTGGCTAGTATGTCAGGTCGATGCGCGTGGCTTGGCTAGTATGTCAGGTCGATGCGCGTGGCTTGGCTAGCATGTCAGGTCGATGCGCGTGGCTTATGCGAGGTCGGTGCGCGTGGTAAGCATGCGAGCGCGCGTGGTTGGTATGCGAGGTTTCTTTGTGCAGCCAATGGCGCTGTGCAGCACTTTGTTTCGCGACGACATGTGTCTTCCCTCTTATAGCCTGGCCTAATCGATAACGGCCTCGCTGTTGTGTGTCGCAGGAACTCCGCGAAAGCATTCAGTCGGTGCCGGAACTGCGCATGGCCATCGGCGAACACACGGCGGACAGCGTGCTGAGAGCCAGCAAGAATGGAGTCAACGGCGTCAACGGCGTCAACGGCGCTCATGAAGCGCAGGAGTGTGCGGAGCGAAGGGCGTTCAAGGACGCGTTCAGAGCGCTGATGACGCAAGACGGCGCCGTGATTGAGAAGCACCTCTCGAGCCTCGTGGCGCGGCTGCAGGCCGAATCCAAGGTGCGTGCTTTGGCGCGACCGCGCGATGGTGTCATGACGTGGGTGTATCAACAGGGAGGGTGTGTAGTCGGAAAGTTCTTGGATTCGCATGTGCCGTTTGCTTGTGATCCATGCCACGTCACATCGTCGACAGCAATCATCGACCCTAGAGTGTCTATGTCATGCCTCCATGGTCACCGCTGCATCCAGGATTCGCATATGACCTTTGCTTGTAATCCATGCCATGTCATGCCATGTCATGCGACTAGGAATGGCATCTCCTGTTTGATCACTGGTCCCAGTGCCATGCAGCATGTACTCCACCCGTCCCACCAACCGCGCATGCACCAAGCACTAACCATGTATGTGGCTGACCTTTGTGGCCGGCCATGGGTGCATGCAGGAGCGCGAGCTGTCGGACAAGGAGCAGCTGGTGCAGCGGCTGGAGCAGCAGTACCCGGGCGACGTGGGCGTGCTGTCCGCCTTCTTCCTCAACCACGTCACGCTGCTGCCCGGCCAGGCCATCTGCCTCGCCGCCAACGAGCCGCACGCGTACCTGGCGGGCGAGTGCATCGAGTGCATGGCGGCGTCTGACAACGTGGTGCGCGCGGGCCTCACTCCCAAGTACCGCGACACGGACACGCTCACCTCCATGCTCACCTACCACCAGGGCCGCCCCCACCTGCTCAACGGCGACCGCGTCACCCCTCACGTCACACTCTACACGCCGCCCTTTGAGGAGTTCGAGGTCGAAAAGATCTCTGTGCCCCTCGGGCAGACGGCAGCCCTGCCAGAGATATCTGGGCCGTCCATTCTGCTGGTGTTCCGCGGATCTGGAGCCATCTCGGTGGCCCCGGCCAACGGGCTGACCAAGGTGCATGGGTGCGCGGCAGCGGTGGCGGCGGCGCCGTCATACGTGCAGGGCGTGCACGTGGGGGACATCTTCTTTGTGCCCGCGGGCAGCAACAAGCTGCTGGCGTCCGCTGTGGTGGAGACGGACGGGGCACAGAATGAGGAGGTGCTGGAGATGTACCGTGCCCGCGTGAATGCACACGTGTGCTGATGCCTGCAAGCCACTGCACGGCAGCCGCCTGAAGTCATGCCTGCTGTTGCATGGCTGATGGAGGGCAAGGGTGCCTTGTGAAGTTGCAGGGGTACAAAGGTTTGGGGAGGTGCAAGTTCGTGCAGAGAGGTGAATATGCTGTTCTGGTGTCACACACGCCCATTGACACGGCATTGCAGTGTGTTGCTGCAGAAGGCCCACATACTATTGGTGGTTGTGCTATATGTGCAGGTGTAACATGACATGATATTGATATACCGTACGATTACGATTTGAACATGCTTGTGTTGTACTGAAGTTTACCAGCTATTGTACTGAGTAATGTTTTGATAGTTGAAAAGCCCGGATACCATCTACGGTAAAGGTTGCCTCATAATGGAACGTTATTGGTAAAATACCGTACTAAAAGGGTAATCATGTAATGCCAAAGTCCTCATACAGCCTACTTCACCCTCCAAGCATGGGTGTAGACACAGAGAGCTGCAGCGAGGAATGCTGGAGGCTGGAGCCCTGTCCTCCTGCGACCTGTCCTGTCCTTGCTCCACCGCTTTCCTCTAGTACCACCCTCTGCTCCTCGATTCTCCCGTCAGTCGTGACGGCACGCATTTCTTTCACGGGTCCCACATCACGTCACAAATTTCTTGTGACTCAAGGCACGCTATACGCCTAGCTGACTGCATGCATTTCTTCTGCGGGTCTCCTGTCCTGCACTTTCAACTCGTTGCGACGTCGCTTGCAATGGTCGACGAGGAGTCATACGGGGGCGATTCGGCCTCCGCAGTCAGCATCAGAAGATGTGACCGCCATTATGGTGTGACCGCCACCATGGTGTGACTTGTCGCGAAAATGAGGTAGACGGTGAGCGTGGTGCTACCGGGCCAAAGGGATCGGCGCGACCTAGAAGAGGGTTAACGGCGTGGCTTAAATCCGTGCCTTCCCACGTCTTCTTTCAGCGGTATTCGTATTCGTACTCAGCGCAACTCCTGAGTCTCGCCTCCTCGTCGCCCCACTGAGTCGAGATGGGTTCCGCACTCCCCGCCGTCTTCCTCGTGCTCCTGCTCGCTCTGGGCGCACCACCTTGTTTATCGCAACAGCCGTCCGCGCCAGTCCCTTCCCCGGCTCCGGCACCCACCGCCACTGCGCCTTCGCCCGCGCCCACACTCGCGCCGACTCCCTCTGCCTCGCCCAGTTCCTCGGTCTCCCCAGCTTCAGCGCCTTCCGTCGCCCCCACCCCTGCCCCCTCCTCCTCCCCGGGTCCTGCTCCTGTCCCTGCTGCTGCCCCCTCCCCTTCTGGTCCCGCCCCTGCCCCAGCGCCAGCATCCGAGCCTGCTGCAGCGCCAGGGTCGGCCCCAGCCTCTGCTCCGGCCTCGGAACCAATGATCGGTTCGGCGCCGACTCCGAGTGCTGCTCCTCCTGGCAGCGACAACAGCCCTCCGCCTCCTGGCAGTGAGGACGGCACAACGGCTCCTCCCGCCCCTGTGCGAGTGCCGGGGAGCAACGACACTCCTGGCAGCGCGGGTTCAGGTGAGAGGGGGGGCTGGGACTGGGAGGATGCTGTCTTTCCATGTGGCGTCTGACGTGGCACACTGTCTTGTATTCGCTCTCACTGTTTCTGATGCTTGCTGTGTGTGGCAGGTCAATACTGCCTGACTTCTGCCACCTTTCTCATGGCTGCTGTAGTGACTGTGGCATCCCTTGTGCTCTGAGTTACTGCATGTGCTCTCATAACATTGATGCCCACCTGCACCTGGAATCACTACTTGTGACTATCCCAAATTGCGGCTGCAGTTGGTGAACATGCTCAATTTGCAAGTACACATAAACTTACAGTGACAATTAAAGTGTGTCAAGTCTTCTGGTACCTCATCCAGCTGTGAGCCATGCAGTGCATGCTTTATATGTTTTTAACCAACCGGACATACGAAACCGTATTTTTAATTTATGGCCTGGAATTGTAGAACTACGGGTAGAACATTCTTCAAAGGGATCCAATGAATTGTTGTAGCTCTGAAACAATGTGATTTACGTTGCAGCCTACCCCAAGCTTGCACACAAGCAAGCCCAGGAGGAGAGGAGGCAGGCAGCGGGTCAGTCGAAGACCCGCTCCCCGGTGGCGAAGACGTTCCACACAACAGTGCCCACCAGGTAGAGCCCCACCGCCACCGTGAACACCTCGTCCCATGACCCTGCCACCACACAGCACATGAGAGGAGGTGAGAGGGGGAGGGGAAGGTGGTGCTCTTGAGAAGGCTGTATGGGGGAGGCAGCATGGCAGGGGCTTGGATTGGAGCTCCCAAGGCTGTTTGAGGGATCACTTGGAGTCCGTGACGTACCGTTCTGCAGGATCTGCCCCGTGACATAGGTGCTGAAGACCCCCGCCAGCACGCCAGCGCTGTTGGACAGACCCAGCAGAATGCCCTGAGGCACGGCGAGCAGGCAAGGTCGAGAGAAGGGGGTGGTGAGGCAAGTAATGCGGGCGCAGAAAGAGGGGAAGAACGGGGTGGGTGAGGTACGAGGGAAGTGAGAATGGCAGGTGCAAGAGCGGCACAGAGGCAGACAGCGAGCGTGTAGCAGTGCAGGCACTGAGGCACTGACCGCGTAGCGCGGGCCGATGTCCTGATGGTTGGAGTAGAGCCCCGACTGGGAAAACGCGTCCGTGCCCTGTGGGGGGCGGGTGCATGGGGCATGGGGCATGGGGCATGGGGGAATGAGGGACTAAGTGCATGCACAGATGCAAGAAGGGCAAGAGGTTGAGCTACAGCGACAAGCAGTGGCAGGTAGAGGCGTGTGTGGGGGTGGAGGGGTGGGGGGGTGGTACCTGGGAGACCATGAGCAGGGCGATGGCAGCAACGGGTGACTTGACCGTGGAGAGCAGTGAGAGGCATATGGCCGGACCCAGGAAGCCGATGCTCTGCATCACCTGTGGTACGAGGGGCGGGGTAGGGCGGGGGGTAGGGCGGGGGGTAGGGCGGGGGGTAGTGCAGCAGCCAGCAGATGCGGTAATAAGGACAGGAGAGGAGCAGGTTTAGTGAAGCAGCATGTGGGCAAAGGAATGGCGGAGCCTGAGGGCGATGAAGCAGGGAGAAAGCGGGGAGTGAGCAAGGGAGGGGGGCAGAGGCCCACCTTGCGCACGAGGGTGACAGAGAGGCCCTTGGCAATGAGGGTGTCGGCGATCCATCCACCGACGTTGGAGGCGATGGCCATGGTGAGCCACGGCAGCACTGCAAACAGCCCCGACTCCGTCAGGTTGAACCCCAACACCTGCCGTGCCCACACGCCCACCCATGCACCCCCGTGTGCCCCCGTGTGCCCCCGTGTGCCGCGTGCATGCGAGGCAGTGGGGATAGTGACACGCAGGGATTAGAAGGGCTGGTAGGCGGGGTGACAGGTTCGTGGGTGGGTGGGAGTGCTGTGCCACAACTCACAACGTGGTAGTGGATGGGCATGCCTACATCATGGTAGCAGGTGGGCATGCGTATGCCTCACAAGCCTCACATCATGGTAGGAGGTGGGCATGCCTATGCCTCACATCATGGTAGTAGGTGGGCATGCGTATGCCTCACAAGCCTCACATCATGGTAGTAGGTGGGCATGCCTCACATCATGGTAGTAGGTGGGCACAGCTCACATCATGGTAGTAGGTGGGCACGGCTCACATCATGGTAGTAGGTGGGCACGGCTCACATCATGGTAGTAGGTGGGCATCCAGGTGAGGAGGATGAAGACGCCCCAGTTGTGGCAGAAGTGGCAGATGATGATGGCCCACACGGGCGCCTTGCTCAGCAGCAGCCGCCACGGGATCGTCGACAGCCGCAGCGGCTCACTGCCCTCCAGGTGCGCCCCTCCCTCGCCCCCCTGCGCCTTGCCCGCGCCCTGCCCCTTCTGTGCGCCCCCGGCTGCTATGAGCGCCCTCTCTGCGGGTGACACACTGGGGTCCTCCGCGGGCGAGCTGAACGCCTGGGGGGGGAGGGGGAGGGGGAGGGGAAGGGGGAGTGAGGGCAGGAGGTGGTTGGGCTACAGATGGGGGTGCAGCCAAGCCAAGGGCTCGGTGGTCAAATTAGCCGTGTTAAGTTTTGTTTTTGTTGTTTATTTGTTTTCTTCTGAACCGGGAGGTTTGCAGTGCATGGAGCGGGGCAGCAGCACGTGGCGTACCTTGATCTGCCAGAAGGCGAACCAGACGAGACCCAGGGAGCCGAAGGAGTAGAAGACGGAGGGCCAGGCGAAGGCGTGGATGATGGCGGGCGACAGCGACAGCCCCGCCACACTGCCCAGGTACATGCCGCTGTACACGAGCGCCAGGGAGCGACTGCGCTCGCCCACCGGCACCCACTTGGACAGCAGATTGTTCATCGCTGGCATCGCCACTCCCTGCCCTCCCCAGCCAGCACAGGGACGAGGGAGAGGGTAGCGCACGGGTGTGAAAGGGGGAGGGTTGGGGGAAGGTTGCGGGAAGTTTGAGACAGGGGGAGAAGGGGTGATAGGAGCGAGGCTGAGGCGCGGGGAGGCGTGGAGGCGGACAGGGCGGTTGGCAGAGGGACGCAGGGAATTGCAGTGGCGTGAGCAGCAGCAGCGGCGAGGGGGCACGGACGGGTTTACGGGGGGAGTGGGGCGGACTGACCTCGCCGACGCCCATGCAGGCGCGCGCAAAGAGCAGTGCGGGCAGGCCGAGGGAGGCGGCGATGGGGGTGAGCACGGTGGCGAGCGACCACCACACCACCCCGAATCCCAGCACCTGCTTTCCGCCTATCGTGTCCGCCCACACCCCCCCCGCCACCTGCCATGCTCCAGGGGGAAGGGCGTGCACGCGGGAGGGGAGGGGGTTGAGAGAGAGAGAAGGGAATGGGGTGAAAGAGGGATGGGAGGGGGAGAGGGGGAAGGGCATAGAGAGTGGTGAGACGGCATAGCGGCACGGCAACTGCGCGAGCAAAACAAGCGTTGAGATATGAGCACGGCAGTGTGTGCGTGGTGAGTGCAGCGCAAACACACGAGTGAGGTACCTGCGTGAGGGGCACATGCGTGCGTGAGGAGGGTAGGGCGAGAGGCACCTACCTGCGCGAGGAGGCACCTACCTGCGTGAGGAGGCACGTACCTGAGTGAGGAGGCACCCACCTGAGTGAGGAGGCACCCACCTGAGTGAGGAGGCACCCACCTGAGTGAGGAGGCACCCACCTGAGTGAGGAGGCACCCACCTGAGTGAGGAGGCACCCACCTGAGTGAGGAGGCACCCACCTGAGTGAGGAGGCACCCACCTGAGTGAGGAGGCACCCACCTGAGTGAGGAGGCACCCACCTGAGTGAGGAGGTAGCCCTGCCTACCTGAGTGAGGAGGTAGCCCCAGAAGAAGGAGGACTGCACGAGCCCCACGGTGGCGGGCGACCACTGGAACTGCTCCGCCATGGGCAGCACCGCTATGCTCATGTTCACCTGCGCGCCGCACCAGCCCCAACAGAGGAGGGGGAGAACCGTTCAGCAAGGGGGGGACAGTTTGCACAGCAGGTGCCCGCGCGCATTGGGGGGGGGGGGATGTGCACGAGCAGTACGCGAGGCGCAGCAGCACGGGCATGCGCGCATGGCGGCACGGCCACGAGGCCAACAGCGCCTCATCAATTCTGTGCAACGACCTGCCCAGCGCGCTGCACTCCCGTTCCCCCTTGATTCGCGCACTGCATGTTGCATTCCCGCCCTTCCCCGTGACTCACGCGGTCCATGTTGCATCGTCCTCCCCTCCCCATTCATGGCACGTGGTCCATGTTGCATTCCATGTGCCCCATTCTCTCCCCCCCCCGCCATGGACTCACGCGGTCCATGTTACAGAGCAGGAAGGCGACTCACGCGGTCCATGTTACAGAGCAGGAAGGCGAAGAAGCACAGCACCACGATGCTCCACCGCTTCTGCCAGCCCCCCGCGCCCCACACGCCGCTCCACCACCCGGGGGACGACGCCGCCGCTGCCTCTTCCCCCGATACCGACGATGCTGACTCGCCTCGCGCACTATCCGCGACGACCAGCGCATCCGCGGAATTCACACCCGTCCCCGCCGAAAGAGCACCATTTCCGCCACTATCACCCGCGGTTTCCCCCGTTGCGCCATCACCAGCGCCCCTGCTGCTCGCCTCCCCGCCTTGCGTTTCCTCCACCCGGCGTGCAATTGCGCCCTCGTCGCTTTCTGTCGCACGAACGATCAGCCTCCTCGAATGTGGTCGTCGACTGTTCTGATTGGCGCGGAGCGGGCGGGTCCTGATTGCTGATGGCGCAACGGCGGAGAAGGGCGCGTGGCTGGCACATGGCGCGAATGCGGGATTGCAATCGATGCGACGCGCGGAGGTGCGGTGGGACGAGTGGCCGATAGCGAGACGCGCTGAGACAATGGCGGGGAGAGAGGGGGGAGAGGGACGCATTACAGCCCCACGACGCCATAGATGCCGGTGACTCAACGCTCATGCGACAGTCATGCATCTGTGACATGATAGAACCGATTTTGAAAGCGAATTGGGCGCAAGCGACGGGTATTGGGCAGAAGCATGACACGAACCGTACTTGGCTGGACGACTGCGCTCGGGTGTAGAGCAGCCATGGCTTGCAATGGCGCGATGCAGCGACAATGGCGCGATGGAGGCGGCCGCTCTGAGCGCCCTGGTGGTCCGCTCTCCAAGCCTATTCCTGCCTGTGCGCCATGCCTCACCTCAACTCGCTGCGCCTGTTGTGA